GCCAGAGAGAAAAAAAATTCTTCTATCTGAACAACAGGAATCTTTTTATTGTGAAGAGTTGACAGGAATGAGTAGTGATGTCTGGAGAAAAGAAAGAGGAAGCTTTGTATCTAACACATAATCAAATCTACTTTAAAAACTGAAAAGACAGTTGCCATGGCAACCATAAACCAGTAGAAAAACATAATAAACTGGTGTTTATTAAGAAATTAAACATGCCTTGTTTGCAAGTTTTAGTTGTCACTTATTAGTTGTGTTGATACTATAGATGTCATTTACTTTAATGTTAACATTTTTGATAAATGTGTATTGCAACAAAACATTTTTTACAAAGACCATGTCAGTTATTAAAGATTATTTATTATACCATCTGGATTTAAACTACAAACTAGTGGCAGTACGTCTGCTGTTTGTTATTATATCAAACATATGTAGACAGACAGCGACCAAGATGTTGGACTATGACTCACAAACAGATGACACAGTTTCTACCACGGGATCTTCAGCCTCCTGAATCGAAATCCAGTCTGACTTTTGTCCTGAGCGGTTCTTCAGTAAACTGAAACACAGAGCTGAGAACCAGTTTACAATACAAACATACAACTGAAAATTCTCATCACCACTAAAACAGAGTTACAGACATGATGTTTGAACAAATATAAACACTTACATCCATGTTTCATCAGTTTGTCACCTGCAGCTTGATGGTGAAAACACCAGAGGGAGCAGTTCATTTACATTTCAACTTCAAATCATTGTTTTACTTTATTTTTAATGCAGTTCAAAAACAGAGCTGAGATCCAACATTAATATTTTATTATTACCAAGGATGCTAAAGAGCATCATCTCTCCCTCTCTCTGTCATACACACTGTGAGTCCATGTCTTTTTGCCTCCTCTGTGTGTGTCTGGTCCTCACACCTTCCAAGGGCTGTTTGAGGGTCCTGAGCTGCTTTTAGGCTTCAGGATGGAACCAGGTTTAGGATTACGGGATGCATTATGTCAGTCAAGGTCCTCACAAAGACAGAAAGACAACCAAGTGTGTGTGTGTGTGTGTGTGTGTGTGTGTGTGTGTGTGTGTGCTTGGTGGGCGGAGCCTGTTCAGCTTCATTGTCTGAGGAGGCAGAGAGAGAGAGGGAGGAGGGAGGGTCGCGCAAGGCAGACAGACTACAGCTTAGAGAGAGAGACAAAGAGGTGGGAGGCAGACTCGCTTTCTTCATGTGGGGGAGGATTAACCGGCACACAACACACATTTCATATTAACACACAGACACACACACACGGCAGCAGACACCTGCATTTGGATCAGCATCAGCAGCAGCAGCAGCAGAGGTGGAGGAGGCGAGAACAAGAGACAAAGAGAGAGACAGAAGGTGGAAGGAGACGATCTGCACTGTCTAAAGAGACAGGAGGAGAGAGACAGGCCTTTGGCACCTCGACCACCCGTCTGTGTTCAGACAATGATGGCCGACCACATGTTTGGCTGCTGTGCGTCTGCTGAGTGTATGCTGCTGTAGGTGGGTGTGTTCGCGTGTTCAGTGTTAGTGGCGTGTGCGGTTGGTGTGATGGGTAACGCAGAGAGCATGGAGAGCCAGCTGGCTGTGATCCGGTCCAGAGCTGCACCAGTTCGACTCCCGATGCCCGACCCAGCTGAGCTGGAGGAGAGGTTCTCCATTGCACTGGTGAGTACACACACAGTATAACTACACAAACATACAAAGACTGAATAGCCACACAGCAGCTGTGTTGAAAGTACACACATTAAACTGAGAATGTATTCATCTACGTGAGGTACAGACTGATGCATTAACACTGAGTCCATGTGGACTACAGTGTCTGCAGATCTGATGTGAACTGTAGGGTTTGGATTACAAAATCTACAGGACAAAATTTTACCGAGCTGCTGGTTAAAACTGTTCCAGGTCTTCAGTCTGACTCTAAAATTCCGAAATGTCATTTATAAAATGGATATAAAGAGAATGCAGATGTTTCAGAGTCTACCTGAAGCTGATGTGGGATACAGCACAAATCTGGGTCCTCAGCTGTTTCCAGCTGCTCTGAGTCTGTAGATTGGTGCTTCCTCTAATTCTTGAACTTCCAGGATGACTTACAAGTTCTTCTGGCCTGTGCTGGATCTGTCAGCACAGACTGTCAGGAGAAGGTAATGAACTGCAGACTGGTCTCTCACCTCTATATTCACCATATGATTCTGTATAAATCTTCCTGATACCGAAGGGAGCATCGTTCTGCTTGAGACAATGTTTGCTTTGTGACATGGTGCATAATCCTGCTGGAAGCAGTCACTAGAAGATAAATGACTGTGGCCATGAAGCATAAGCATAAACTTTATTGCCAAGTATTTCAAGAATACAAGGAATTTGACTCCAGCTCAATGGTCCCCAATGTGTACAACATAAAAACAAAATAAATACACAATATATATGAGTTTTAAGAAATCACAAGTTAAAAGAGCAACATAGACTAGCTGTTAATCAGGGTAACAGCCTGGGGAAAGAAAGGGAAGGGATGCACACAGTCACCAACAATACTCAGATCAGCTGAGGCAACTAAATTATGACTAATTGGTATTAAAGTGTTTAAACTGTGCCAAGAAAACCATCTCTACACCATCACACCCCCCAGAAGCCTCAACTGTTGATACAACGTGGGCCAGGCCCATGGATTTATGCTATCAACACCAAGTTGTGATCCTTACATGTGTGAGTCTCAGCAGAAATCCAGAATCATGAGAACAGACTAAATTTTTTCAGTTGTCATCTGTCCATTTTTGGTGAACCTGTTCCACGGCAGCCTCACAGTTCTGCTCCTGGCTGACAGGAGCCTTGCATGGTCTTCGGCTCTTGGAGCCTATCTGCCTCCAGGTTCAACATGTTCTTCACTGGGGGAAGCACAGCTGTAGAAAGTGGTGACCTGCCTCACCACAGCCATTCTGTCAACTCCAACCAGTCTAATCAGTCTCCCCCAGCCTCCCTCACCAACAAGGCATCCCCACTCGCACCAGCAGCCATGCAAATGTCCACATGAATGAGATCATATTTGTTCCCCATTCTGATGTTTAATCTGAGCACTAACATAAGCTCATGACTTGAATCAGCACTGCACTGCTGCCACATGACTGGCTGATAAGATTAACTCCATGAAAACACAGGTGTACAGGGGTTCCTAATAAAGTACTCAGTAGGTGTAATTGAGCCGATACCTGTTGTCATCTCCCCCTCACCTCAACATCACAAACACTAACATTTGTTTTGTTCTAGGTGTTCAAGAGCTCGGAATTTTGTTGGCTTTAGATAGGACTATGATTTCTATCTAAACATTTAACAGCCATAAGATTTTGTACTGTGATACAGAGTCTGAAAATATATTGGTTCTCTCCATATGAACTCACAATGATCTGGTCAAAAAAAGATACTGATCCACTTCTAAAAATCTGTTCATCTTAACATCTTCTGTAAAGTGAAGTACTTTGAAAAATAGAACTGTGGAAATCTCTAGAATTTTTTGCTATTGTTTTTTTTAAGGAATTTTCAATTCCATATATCATTATTTCAGGAATAAAAGGCCACCAGGCACATAGTTCCACATGCACATTCATTCAGGTATACAAGCATATTAATAACAGAAAAACACCTAAAATTAATATACAATGATATAATTGGTAACTGCATTCTATAATGAAAAATAAGCAAAGATGCCAAGTCATGATCATACAGCACGATAAAAAGTCATGTTCTCTGTATTCCATAATAAATAACAACTGCCAGCCACCATACATGCATAGTTATAAATCAGTGAAAACTCTGAATAAATATAAGTAGAAGCAAGATCTAGGGCTGTACCTTACTAAGGATTTTGTTAGTTGGCTTTTCAGTGCAACTATTCATTTTTCTTTCTTTCTGTTTTATATATATACAGTGGGTATAAAAAAGAATTACCCCCCACCCACCTTTTTCCCCCCCCCCCCCCCTTTAAAATAATCACATTTTATTGTTTTGCAGCCTGAAATGAAGACAGACACAGTTTTGTTTTATCCTGCGGTATTTACTCAGTGTAACATATAACATCCAAGTGAAAGATATAACACCAACATGTCAGAAAAAAAAGCCCAAAACAGAATCACTGAGTTGGAAAAAGTATCACCCCCTTGTGTCATGTCGGCAGAGCTGTAAAAACTGGTCCCAGAGAGAAGCAGAAAAAGGCCCAGGAAACACAGGTCACTAAAGAAATGCTGGCCTTTGACAATCCGGGATCAGAAATGACCTTACAGGAGGAGCTGCAGGAGGCCATCGAACATATTGTCTCTTTACAATTAGAAGTCCCTCAAGAACAACAAGAGTATTTACAAGAAATAGCGGAAGGGTCACTGTATTTTGTTGAACCATCTTTTGCTTTAATTACAGCCTTTAGTCTGTTGGGATATGTCTCTACTAACTTTGCACATCTAGACTTCGCAATATTTGCCCACTGTTCTTTGCAGAACTGCTCAAGTTCAGTTAAATTTGATGGCCACCATTTCTGGACTGCAGTCTTCAAGTCATTCCACAGATTTTCAATGGGGTTTAAGTCTTGGCTCTGACTAGGCCATGCACGGACATTCACCTTTTTCTCCTTTGACCACTGTGTGGTCATTTTTGCTGTGTGCTTTGGATCATTGTCATGTTGCAATGTAAACCTTCTTCCCATTGACAACGTTCTGGCAGGGGGCAGCAGATTTTTCTCAAGAATTTGACTGTATTTTGCCCCATCCATTTTTCCTTCATTCCTGACAAGTGTTCCAGTCCCTGCTGCAGAGAAACAACCCTTAACAGGATATTACCACCTCCATGCTTTACTGTAGGAATGGTGTTATTTGGATGGTGAGCTGTAATGGATTTCCACCAGACATATCATTTGGTTTTAAGGCCAAATAATTCCATTTTAGTTTCATCTGACCAACACCTTTTTCCATGTGGCCTCAGAATCTTTAAGATACGTTTTGGCAAAGCTCAGTTGTGACTGCATGTGGCCTTTCTTGAGGAGTGGCTTTATTCTTGCAACCCTCCCATACAAGCCACATTTAGAGAATTTGTGATATTGTTGTCACATGCACACAATGACCACTCTTTATCATAAATTCCTGCAACTGCTTCGAAGTTGCTGTAGGCCTCTTGGTAGCCTCTCTGACCAGTTTCCTCCTGGCTCTTTCATCCAGTTTGGAGTGACATCCTGATCTTCTTAATAATAAACTTCACTGTGCTTCTAGGCATTGATAAGGCCTTTGAAACATTTTTGTATCAATCTCCTGACTTGTGCCTGTCCACAACTTTATCCTGGAGATCTTTTGACAGTGCCTTGCCACCCATAGTTGATTGTTTGCCTCAATTGCACTACCAGGGTCTGAAATGCTCCAGGAAAGCTTTTTTCATGCTGAGCTAATCAAAATGACCGCAGCTGATCACAGTGGTAAGTCATTTGGCTTTGTGTGCCATTGAGAAGGCTGATTAGCTACGCCTGATTGAGTTGGGG